GTGATTCTGTTCAGCACTAAGAAAGTAGATCCCAGTACAACAACCCCCAACCCTCATCTTTATAAAATTGTTTTTTGTTCCAGTTTGAGTTTGTTAAGGAATAGCGCTGTGAAATTTGTTTCCGGGATTAATGTGAGTAAGTTGTTGATATATCTTAGTGTATACTGTACTAATATATCAATATTCTCAGCTCCTGTTTTAACTTTCCTACTCACTCTCTTTCTAAGATCTTAAATCACCTCTATGGGTGATGTTTCTTTTTCTTCCTCCATTATGTTTTCACGAACAAAATGTCCATGGGGTATGACCGAGGGAAGAATTCCGCTCCCAGCGCTAGTCTCACTGGAGCAACTTTGCATCTCTAAATTATTTTCATATGATTTTTAATGTAGATGAAAGGGAAACAAAAAAACCTATGCTGTTTTTTGTGTAAAAAAAAAATCTTTCCACTGGCAAGATTGTGAGTTTAGTCATGGTTTGTCACAGCATAACCCATAGTTTCGCCAATATGTAAATTTTTCCACCTCAGTGTAAGAATTTTGACTGCCGTGATCGGAGGCTGCCCAGTTCAGATGTTTATTTTCAATAATAGATGGCTCTATCATGAAGATAACAAAAATGCCTCTCCTAAGGCCTGGGAACTTCGTATATGTGATAATACAAGGTTATGAATCATACTTTTGATCACTTTCCTTCAAATGAAACTCTGATTGCTCCAGAGCTTTTCATCACCAAGGAAGTGGTGAAACTCTTAGCTAGATGTGGTTAAAGGGATATTCTGGAATCTGAGGGGTTTTTCACTCTGGATTTGATCTCTTTTTTGTATTGGGAGTCCTGTGATTATTAGTAGGTTCTTTTTTTTCAGTCATTGAAACTGCAGTTGCTCAAAGTTCCTTTGAAACAGAGATTCCTTTGAATACAATATTTTTAAGGATGTTTGCTGCATCCAAATTTCTTCAGAAAAACCCTGGTTACATAACAAGCTAGGAATGCCTGCTCTCTCCAGTCGTTAAAGTTTTTTTCTCTGGGTGTTCCTGTAACCAGCTCCTTCTGTGTTCTCCCTGGGCAAAATAGTAGTTAGCGGTTAGTAAAACAAAACTAGAATTTCACAAATATATACCATGACTCCACCATGACCCACTATCATTTTATCATAGACACTAGGTATGATATTTCCTCTTCAACATCGTTACATGTGCACGGAGTTAGCTATTACAGAACTCATCAGTACCCCAGATTAGGCTTTACTCGATTTTGTTTTTATTTCAGTTGCTTCCAGTGGTGATTGAATGGCTTGTGCTGACTCACTTATAATGTCTCTGAGACCTACGAGATTCTCACAGGGCCTTACTTCTTGTCATTCCCACAAGCATCCTTCTGTATTCCTGAATCTTACCTTTCTTTTTTCCCCTCCTACTTCTAGCTACAGTAAGTACACATTGTCTATCCCCTCAAGCTTTTCCCCCGGAGACTTTCTACTATTATTCCAAAGGGCTTAAACTTCCATTCTGTCTGTCTGCCAAAACCAGTTAATACTGTGGGTATTAACATTCTGGTTTTTATATAGTAGTTGAAAGTTGCCTGCTGTGCACGAGGTTCTGCCAGCCTGGAACTTGCCTGGACATAGCACTTGCCAGCCACCCGCCGGGAGGAGTGCTCTGAGATAGATGGCGAGCTTCGTCACCCAACAACTGTTTGCCAGGGTCTGATTTCTGTGATTCAGGGATGTACCTTTTGAAGGCTCTTCATCCAACCACAAATCTTCCTTTCACTCATCCACTTGTTTAGATTCCTGAAATAGCACTTGACACAAAGAGACACATGCTCTGATAATGTTTTATTCTTCTCTGTCAAGCACCCTCTCTTTAATTCCCTGCATGTGGTAAGCTTGCTCCAAGTCCCTTCCTATACACCCTGCACCCACATGCTCATATCTTTGTGTCCCTGTTCCACCATTATCACTTCAGAGAGATTTTCTTTGTAATCTTGGTCGGCTCCACAGACTCATGCTTTGAAATGGTCTGTATTAATATCTTTTCCTTTCTATAGCATCCTGTAGGGTTTTCAAAACCTTTTGATTTTTAGCTTTTCTTTTGTGATTTTCTTATGGTTCCATTCTGTACTTGTTTAGACACTTCCAACCTGATTGACACATCTGTCAGGATCATTTCTTTGGTGCACTTTCTGTTGCACAGCTAGGATTTATTTCAGCAGTTTCACTGTGGTTTATTCATCTTCCTTGACTATCTCTGCAATCCAGACTAGTGTAAATGATCAGTGTTGCTTTCTCAGCGCAGGTTTCACAGCTACCACAGAACTTGAGAACTCTTACAGAGGCCTAAGGTTTTTGCATTGTTCAACTTTAATTTGTTTATGTGAATTTATAGGAGTTTCTCCACTCTACAGAGAGCAGACTTCTCTTGTCTTTACGATCACTCAAGATCAGATGATTTTCATGCTGTTTCACTTCTTGTATCTTATTCTTTTCCGCATTTAAATTTGTACTTATATCTATTGATATATTAGTTTGCACTTATATATATATACATATATATGCTGATATATCTTAGTGTATAGTGTACTGATACATCAATATTCTCAGCTCCTGTTTTAAGTTTCCTACTCACTCTCTTTCTAAGATCTTAAATCACCTCTATGGGTGATGTTTCTTTTTCTTCCTCCATTATGTTTTCACAGACAAAATGTTTATTCATTTAAATAGTGCATTTAGTCTGTGCTCTACACAAATATTCTTCTTTTTCTTTTTTATGTTGTGAACATCAACTTCTAGATGTGTAGCTTCATAGTTTACTAATTTAATGAGAGAACTAAAGGAAATTTTCTTGCACTGTGAGTATCTCAGAAAGGATTGTTTTTGAATAGCCTATAGTTCGTGACTTTCCTGAGCATTTAGCCCACTAATCACTATTGAGGGTGGAACAAAATTCTCATGCTTTATACCTTTATATAGGTTTAGAGGTGTTACCTTGCTTCATTCCAGTCTTTCTCCCTTTAAACTAAGCATGTTTGGGCCTGGAATAGTGGTACATGCCTGTAATTCCAGCACTCAGGAGGCTGAGGCAGGAGGACCATTGTGAGTTTGAGACCAGCCTGGGCTACAAAGCGAGCTCAAGGCCAGCCCAAATTGCATAGTGGGACCCTGTCTTAGAAAGACAAAAAATTAAAATTAAAATTAAAAAAATAAACTAAGCATGTTCAGCATTTTGTACTTTTTTAGAGGTTACATAGAACCTTTGTCAGTTTGTTCTTTATTTGAACTCTTCCGATTTACTTGTACAAGTTGAGTATCTCCTATTTGAAACATCTTGGATTGAATATTTTTCAAATTTTGGATTTTTTAAAATTTGTGTGGGTTTTTTTTGCATAATCTGAATGAGATACATTTTGAGGATTAGATCCCAGTTTAATCACCAAGTTTATTTATGTTCTATATATTCCTTATACACAAAGCCTGAATTTAATTTTCTGCAATATTTTCAGTGTGCTCATGTTTTATCACAATCCATCACATACAGTCAGAAGTGGGATTTTTCCACTTGGAATCATGTTGGGGGCTTGAGGTTTGAGATTTTGGAACATTTCTGATTTTAGGTTTTCTAATGAGTGATCATCAGCCTATTAAAAAACAAAAATCCTTAGTTGCACGTTCTGTCACATTTCTTGTAGTTCCAAGGGACAATACGGAAGGCTGTGTTTACTCAGCCTTTACTGCACAATCTACTTTTTGGAAATTTTTGAGAGCTTCCTGAATGACCTCATATCTAGCAAGAGCCTGTGGCTATCCCGAATACCCAAGATCTCCCTCTGCACATCTTTTTTCTCAACGATGATCTCCAACACGTCACTGCTTTGCCAGGTAGCATCAGAGTAGACAATCTTCCACAGCTCCATGTTATTAAAGAAGTCATACTGACCTTTGCAACTAGAAACTGAGTGAGTGGTTTATGTAATAAGATAGAACCTCAAAAATAGAAGCTTTTAGCAAAAGATTTTTGTAGTCCTTGGATGGTCACATGAATTGACATTCTTGTGAGGGGCAAATGTGGAATCCTCCTTTCCTCTATCAAACTCTGGTCAAATAAATTTAACCACTCTGCCTCCATGATTAGATTCGGATATTTTGAGTAATTTTTATAATTTTACTAAAGTCCCATCTGCTTTGCTAATTTGTAAGGGAAAAGATAAATATTAGTAAAAACACATGGAGATTAAACAATAGAGTCCTGAGTAATCAGTGGGTCATAGAAGAAATCAAGGAAAAAAATTACACAACTCCTAAAATCAAACCATAGTGGCAGTACAACTTACCAGAATTTATGGAATGCAAAGAAAGGATTATTAACAAGGAAGTTTATAGCCATGAATGCCCGTATCAGAAAAACAGGGTGAGTCCAAATAAATAACCTAATGATGTACCTGAAGTTCCAAAAAACAAGAACAATCCAAATATGAAGCAAGTACAAGGAAAGAAATTATAAAAACCAGAGCAGAAATGCAAACTAAAACAACACTGAGACTCCATCTTACACCAGAAAGAGTGGTTATCATCAAGAAACCAAAGAATAACAAATGCTGACAAAACAGAGGATAAAGGAAAATGTCTACATTGCTGGTAGGAGTGAAAACTGGTACAACCACTATGAGAATCAGCGTGAAGATTTCTCAAAAAACTAAAACTAGAAATCCCACTTACAGTCAGAGTGAGGGATCTACACACATTTTGTAGAGAGAAAAACAAAGCTCAGAGACAAGGTTTCCTTTGGGAAATCTAAACAAGAGCTGCTCTCTCACCCACATATATCTGCTCCCATGTGTTGCCCATCATATGACTATTAAAACATTAAAACAATTGTTTTTTACAATATAAAACAATTTCATGTTCATGAATTTTTAATTTTACCAGCACAAAACACAATAATTTTTCCTTTGCTCTCTTACAAATAACTTTTTTGTCTTTCTTTATTCTTTGTTTCCTTTGCAGGGCTGGGGATCAACTCAGGAGTGCTCTATGACTGAGGTATAGCTTTAGTTCATTTTATTTTTTATTTTACACAAGTTTTCACTAAGTTTCCCAGGCTGGCATTGAACTTGCCATCCTCTTACCTCAGTTTCCAAAACACCTGGGATTAGGTTTGGTGACGGAAGTTGATTTAAGTCAAGGTTAAGCCTGGAGAATATTTGTTGTGTTGTTCTTGCTGCTGCTGCTTTTGGTGATTGCAAAGTAGCAACAACAAAAAAAAAATAGTATGTTTTGTAATAGAAATGCTGACTCAAACTTTACTACTGTCAAACTTTAGATAGATTCTCCTCTTTTTTTCAATAAGCGAGAAAATTATGTTATGGAGCTATTTGTGTGAAGAGAATCATTAAAAACATTGGAAAAGAATACTAAGTATGAAAAAAAGTTATAGAATGTTCTTGGACTGGAAAGTATAGTTATTTTTAAATATGTGAGCTGTATATGTTATGTTTTTAGAACACAAGCCTGACCAAAGGTTTTATGATAAAATGGGATAGAGTGACAGAAACCAAACCAAAGCTACAGCGCAGAACCCGCAGCCCAGCATGACCTTGTGGTCCTTCTCCACATCAGCAACCAGCAGAAGCGACAGGATCCCCAGCCAGGAATACTTTCCCCCAAGGTATGTCTTCCACAGCCACTTCCCTCCACACCACGCAAGTTGGACTTGGGAATTTGCCCAGCGACGTGAGCTCAGCCTCACGATCTCACAATATCCAGGGTCCGTCAGTGGTTCTGGCAGGTTCTTCATCTTCATCCATAGACAGGTGTGCTTCAGATGAGCCAGAAACAACCAGCATGTGTTTGAAAGCAGGATAGAGGTGATCAAGTCTCATGTAGCTCACAGTGATACAAAAAATTTGACTGTTGGGAGGTCATGCCATACTTCCTTCACTATGTGTGGAGTACGGAGATCCTAGCACCACAGAGCCCAGGGAGATGAATGGGAGACAGGTAGCGCGAGATGCGGACAGCTGTGGGTGGAAGCTGAGTGAGATGCATACCCGCTGTGTGCACATAGCCCACCAGGCCATGGGCAGAGGACTTTGTGTGATGGTGACAAAGGAAACTAAACTGTAAACTATAAAATGTTTTCTTTTTTTTGTTTGTTTGTTTTTTTGTTGTTGTTGTTTTTTCTCCGGTACCGGGAACCGAACTCACGACCTTGCGCTTGCTAGGCAGGCGCTTTGCCGCTGAGCTAAATCCCCAGCCCCTATAAAATGTTTTCTTTATGACATTCAAAATAAGAGGATAGGTGCTGGGGATTTAGCTCAGCGGCACAGCACCTGCCTGGCAAGCGCGAGGTCGTGAGTTCGATCCCCAGTACCGGGAAAAACAAAACAAAACAAAACAAAACCCGAAAAACAAAATAAGAGGATATTGGCAATGCCACGGTCTTCAAAAGCATTGTCCCGGGGCTGGGGATTTAGCTCAGCGGCAAAGCGCCTGCCTGGCAAGCGCAAGGTCGTGAGTTCAGTTCCCGGTACCGGAGAAAAACAAAAAAAAACAAACAACAACAACAACAACAAAAAAAGCATTGTCCCTAAAATGCTGAGCTTAACTTCTAGTAGACTTTCAGAAGCCACTTGGGAAATCAGAGGCCAGCGGGCTCTGCCTGTAGGCTGCTCCTCTGCCCCAGCCTGGGGGAAGCTTCAGAGACTGGACTATTTTCCTGGGAGCACTTTCCTCCCCTGTTCTCATTTTCTGTGTTTGTAGGGAAGCAAAACAGGTTCTGTAGGGAAAAAAAAGACCCACACAATTGATGAAAAAAAATGTCATGACACCCCAGAATTTTCAGTTATATTGGTAGCTACTTCTTAAATCTAAATGAAATGCTTGTAACATTGTTTCTTGACTTACCAACTTCAGATATTGGTTCTTGGCTTTCTGTCACAGTTGAGAAGAACATGGAGTATAGAGATCCTAGCAGCACGGGGCCCAGTGAGATGGTTTTGGACTATAGCACCATTCTTCTTCCTCATCCAGCCACCACTGAAACTCCCATGACATTCCTGCATCTCTTTTCTTCCCTTCCTTGATTCCTCTATAGAATGAATGCTCAAACTCTCACCCTTCTCGCATTCCTTTTACTCTTGCACTTTTTATTGTTATTATATTTTTAATAAACCTTCACATTCTGGACTATGGTACATCCAATGGTTAATTCTAAAAGAGGAAAACTTAATTAGCTTAATGAATTACTTCTGTGTAAATATTGTTCACTGCTGAACTAATAATGTATGTGATCAAGGGTTTTTTTAACAGGTTCCAGGGGCATGCCTGCTGTACTTCTAGAATGCAGCTGGAAGGATTTCTCATGTTTGTGACTCACAGTTGCCTTTACTATATTTCCAAGTTCCTGGTCATGTTTTCTGTTCTTGTGATTCTTATTACCCAGAGCGCCATCTCCCAGGACCATTAATTCTCATGCTCCGAACTTAACTGGTTACTTTTAGATCTTCCACATAGTAAGAATTGTGGAATAAGATGTCTCTGATCCCATAGATTGGGTTGATTCTCTTCTTAGTCAGTTATTGAGACAAAGATACTACATAACCATGAACTGCATAAGACAAATTCCAAAAATTTCAGCAGAAATAACAAACATTTAATTTTCTTATTCTACTTCAATCTGTGGGTGGAATTCAAAATCGCTCCAAGTGTTCTTTATTCAGGTTTAGCAGCTGTTTAAGGCAGGCTCTTCTCATGGAAGATGACAGAAAAGATGTAGACCCCAGAAAAAAAGAGAGAGGAAGAGGGGAAGAAAGGGAGAGAGAGAGAGCAAGGGAATGAGTGAGAGAAAATTAAGTCAAAGGAGTGTATTTATAGCCTTTGCTCATGTTGTATTTATTAATGTTCCATTAGCCAAAGAAAATCACATAGCCAACCCAACATCAAAGAAGTAATGGAAGGCAGCTATGCTAACCACTATACCACCAACGCCTCTGTTAAAAAAGTAATGGAAACCATTTCACCTTCTCTAGTGAAAGGCATGGACATACCTGTTGATAATAGGCAAGTGAACCATAGGGAACAATAATCCAATCTATAGAAGCCCCTGTGAAATCTTTACTCCCTTATTTTGCTGGAGAACATCCTGTAGCTACTTCCTAGGGAAGAATATATGGTAGGTAAACTTTCTGAATTGTAAATGTCTGAAAACGTCTTTCTGATGCCTTCTTACCCAACAAAGAAACTTGAAACCCTTTGTCCATTGTCTTCTGGCATCCAGAGTTGCTAATGAGAAGTTTCTGCCAGGCTGGATCTTGTCATTACTTAGATGGCTCTTTCTCTCCTTATATTCCTTTTACTTTGTTATTCTCAAATTTCTCCATGATACAGACATAGATAATTTTTCCTTTATTGTGCCAAGCATGCAGTGGGCCCTCTCAAACTGACAGTTCAGTGTACAAGACTTTAATCAATCCCTCTGTTTGTCACATAACTTACTACTGCTCTCCCTCCCATTTGGTCTTTCTAAGTATGGAGACTGGAGATCTCCACTCTCCAAAGTTCATTGCCTGTCTGTCTGTCTATCTGGTATGGCTTGTATCTAGATGTCTCCTCAAAGCCTCATGCACTCATAGGTGGAGATTTTGGAAGTGGCAGGATCTAGGTTGTATGAATATGGATCAAGGGTGAGATGCTGGGGTTAAGGGGGTGTGAATTAGTCCATTAACTAGCTTAGCATAGGTCCTGGTGGGGATAATGGAAGCCCCATCCTGGGTATGGGTGGCACCAATCAATAAGGTTGCAGCTTGGACTGAATGTAAGGGGACAGAAAGATGCTGCTGCTGCTGATGCTGCTGCTTACTTCTCTTTACCTTCTTGCCATGGACTGTTTCTCCCTTGCCATTTCCCTCTGCTTTGCTTCCGTGACTATGGACTGGACCCTCTATGAACTGTGAACCAAAATAAATCTTTCATCCTTAAGCTTGTGGATGTTGGGTATTTTGTTTCAGCAATGAGAAAAGAAATCAAGAGACTATCTATGAGAGACTGTTGCTTGTTACAGTTTGCTTCATCACTATATTAGACAGGTTTCCCATTGCTGGACACAGTACCCAACATGCCTCCATGACCTCCATCCAGACACGAGCAGAAGTGTGGTCCTCAAGTTTCCCAGGTGGATTCCAAGGCAAATCACTCCATCCTAACTTCCACAACCACTTTTCTGTATTCCAGAATTTTTTCAAATTCCGTTGTGTACTAATGGTCCTTATCAAACTCTCTTGTGGGGTTATAAGACTACAAATATTTTTTACTTTGATTGTATTGGTGTCTCATGAAGAAGAAACAATAAAAAGTTGAACCTAGGTCATCATGTTAAATTGATTAGTTCACTATTGTGTTTTGTTGGACAGACTAAAATGTTTATGAAGTGGTTGGCTGTGTCAGTGAGTACAATATTTTATAAGACTATATGAATAACTTGGCTACGTTACCATCTAGATTTTCAGAGTTACTTTATTTGAATGTGATTGCAAAAAAATTGGAAAGCAAACAAAGACCACCGGTTTTTCAAAAACACTGTACACAACAGAGATTTTTGCAATGATAGCAATACTCAGTGTTATATAGCAAAGCAGACACCAGCCTTATGTGGCTATTGTACACTTAAACTCTTGTTAGTGCTACTGATGAACTGAATTTTTAATTTTGTAAAATTTCAACTGATTTACAATGAAGATTCTTGTGAAATTTCCTAAGTTAAAAAAATACATTCTCAGGCATAGATCTCTTGTGTAAAGAAAATTATATACCTGTAAGATATGGACATGAGAAAGCTAAAAAGATATATGGTCAGGTATTTCCAAGGCACATACTATGTCAGGTACTAGGATGACAAAACTGCAGATACACAGTCACCTGCCCTCAAGGATTATTCAATCCACTGGATATTTAGTAGACATGCAAACCACCCAGTAAACACAACTAGAAGATTGTATTATTTGCCTGTGCTGAATGGTGAGGACAGAGTGATGTATTCAAGACACACAGACAAGCCTTTACTCAGGAAATACAATTTAGGTCCTGACTTGTAGCTCAGACTTTCCCAAGAGATGAATTAGTAGAACATTTCAGGCAGAGAAGGCCCAGGTATGAAGAAACAAGCCACCTGATTTTGCTAGAACCTAAAGTGCAATTAGGGAAGTATTAGGAGGTGAGACTAGCTAGCTAGATAAAAGTGGCTTGTTACTATAGGAAGAGGTGCTTCACGCCCACTGAAGGTTGATGAAATATGATTCTTCTAATGAGTGCAGATTTATAGTGTGGGACAGAATAGTGAATTCACTATACATTTTTACCCAACACTCCGTTCACACAGTTTGGAAATTTTTTTTTAGTTTTCTCCTAAATCACTTTCATATTACAAAATAACTTTAAGAACTCTTTTTAAATAACTGGTGGAAAAGTAAATCTAAACTTAGTTGCTATGATGCCCCAAAATTTATATGTTGAAATCTAAGCGCTAATGCACTGGTATGAAGAGATGGGGAATTTGGGACCTGGCTAGACCGTAAAGGCAGAACCCTCATGAATAAAGTTAGTTCCCTCATAAAAGAGGCCTGATGAGCCTGCCTGTCCCTCTCAGCATCCCAGGACACAATAAGATGGTGCCATCCATGGGAAACAAGACCTTACTGAATCTATTGGCACTGTGACCTTGAACTTCCCAGTCTCAGAGCTACGAGCAATAAGTATCTGCTGTTTATTAAATTCCCTAATCTATGCTATTGTGGTATAGAAGCTCATGTGGATAAAGACACCAGCTGAAATGAGAACAAATCCCTAACTAGAGGACGATCGCTCATTAAACACATGTTAAACAATGATGGAAATCATACCATTGAAGTTTGCTGCCCCAGGAAACACAAAATTTACCACCACCGTAGAAGTACTAAATAACAAAAGTTACTCCAGTTGTGTTGTGCTTTCTAAGACTTAAACACATTTGTCCTAATTACCTATGGGCAAATGTATAATCTTATCTGGCTTTTAAATTTGCAATTTTGGGTTACTCCTATCAACATTGGTGGTGGCTGGGAAAATTCAGGTGCTTGGAAAATTAATGTTCCTTTGATTAGGTAATTCTCCCTGGAAATTTAAGACCATAGCAGCCGCAGGCTAATCCCACAAAGAAATAGTGATTTGGGGAATATATGTTCTAGAGGAAAGGAGGGAATATGGGTGAAAACTGGTCCAAAGTATCTATATGCTTTAAATTCCTCTGAACCAAGACATAACAAGGTACAAAGTACCACTTCCCCACTCCTTAAAAAACATACACACAGAGAAAGAAAAATAAAGCCAATGAAATAATCTCAATTAGAGCCAGTGAAAATAAAGTTCTGGGTTAACACAGTGAGTCAAAAAAATAATAAAACTACTTGCCAAGGTGTCATGACCCCATCTTATTGTTGAGTTCAGCTTTTCCATTCTAAATCCCTATTTTCTGTTTATAACCTACTCTGAAATGCTCCTTTTGACCTTTGAGTCTGATATTTCTCTAGCCTTGTCTCAATCCAAAGGCGAATTTATTTGCAATTTGAACTAAATCTCTTCAGTTATTTCAGTTACTTGAGTTTGAAGAAAATACCTGCTTTGTGCTTTCAGAAATTGTTCACATTTCTTTTCCATGTTCCAATAGCTTAAAATGACTTTATTTTACAGCTGTAGGTTTGGCATGACTGCACTGAAGATTCAATTCAAAAAGAATTGGTTAAAAAATTTGGATTCAAGAATGAGCAATGGTACCGTTCCATAGCATGTAGTTACATGGTGGCAGATGTACTGTCACCAGCATGACTGTCTCCTATGATCATGTGAAAACATTCACAAGGTAGGTAGGCTACAGCTCACAGACAGGTCAAATTTTATCCCTTTCCAATCAATTTAAAGTGCATTTCTGACTTGCAAAGATTTGAAATGTAAATAAAGAGCCCTAACTTCCAAGGCCATGAAGGGAACATTTTAATTACATATTAATTCATAAAGAACATAGTAAAGGTCTATTTTTGTGACTTTTCATAGAACTTGAGCATTTGATGTGGAGTCACTGCTGGACTCCAGCTCAGGTGCTCTGACTTACATGTATGATTGAAGCTAAATTCTGTGCGAATGCTGTGGCTACAGGAATAATAGAACAAAGACGTCCCCTTGGCAAATTCCTTGAATATGAGTGAGACTGACAAAGCGCTTAAACAAGCTTTTCCAACTTCCCATACTTATCTTCAATAGCATGTCAGATATCAGTGGCCAAAAAAAATCAAGTAAGGCACCTCTCTGATTGCAAATCAGAGTTATTTGGAACCCTGAGTGGATTGTAACAAAGCATAAGCCCAGAATTCATCTTGTCCCAGAAAAATGACAGTATTTTTGAGCACATGCTACATGGCAAGCTCAAAGCTGGGTAGTTGGGCTTCATCTCATCGTACTGGAAGATACAATTTTCACGGTAATTTCAGAATTGATCAAATGGTAGGCAAATCAAAATAGTTGGGGAATACAGTCAGCCTTCCATATCCTTGAGTTCCATGTCTACAAATCCAGCCAACCGTGGATCAAAAATATTGGAAAAAATGTGTCTATATTAAACATGTACAAACTCTTTTCTTCCCTATCATTATTCCCTGAGAAATATAGTTCAGCAAGTATTTCCACAGCAGTTCCATTCTATTAGGTGTTGTAAATAACCTGGAGATGATTTAAATGGGAAGATGTGCATAGATTATATGCAGATACGAGTATCCGTGGATTTTGGTATCCTTAGAAGTCCTAAAACTAATCTCCCAGTTATACACAGGGACAATTGCTGAAATCTGGATTCAAGTTTTGACTTCTTGAAAGCAAAGTGACTTATTAAAAATTTACAATGAGGTTGTTCTAATGAAGTGAAGTTTTGGAGCTAAGATGCAACGAACACATTACAGACTATACTATGGTGCTGTGGGGCAGCTATGCACACAGATGGTATTGATTTCCATTTCCTGTGAAACTGAATTAACATGTTGTGGCTAATGTCTCTGTAATTCAATGTATTGAATAAAACTTACCACTGTTCTCTCCTTGGGGATAATAGGTCTCGCTTGGTTGTGGCGTCCTTGTGTTCTAAAACCACAAGTGATATATTTAACAATCCTTTGTTATTAAAAATCAACCTAAGAAAATTTCTCCTGCTTCTTAAAAAGGACAGATAATTTTTCAACTCATTTATGTTTTTTCTATCATAGTGGAAGAAAGCCAGCATCATAAAATTTTCTTAGACTAATGAATGTTGCAGATAATGTTCTATTAGTTGTCAATATCATAGTCTGTCTACGATGTGACTGAGTAGATATATGGAAAGAACTAACAAGCTAAAGCATCAGTACCAAAGCAGCTGATCTATCCAGGATCAGGAGCAGGGTAGGAAAAAAACGGCCCTCCCTTTCTGTGTCATTCTGCCACCACTGTTTGTCTATTATCCTCCCCAGAAGACCAGGGATCTTAGCTCTGTGAGTGTCTGAGCCCTCTCACACACCACAGCTCTTCGTATGGTACCAGTGTCCATAACTTCTGTTTTGACATCCACTTTAAAAAAAAGTAATTCCTCATGGGATTTTTGTGAGAAATCAGATGAAATAAAATGTGGAAACTCTTAGAAAATTATAAAGGGAAATACAAATGAATGTGACTATTTGAAAGGCATTGTTTTTTTTATCATTATTCCACAGTGTTTGTGGTTCTCTACTGGGAAACTACATGCTTTTCAGAACTTCCTTTCAACTTGATTGGTTGGGGATTCAGTGCATCTGGCTACAGAAACTTAAAAGAATACGTGAATGACTGATACTTCTTACAAGGGCACCAGAATTGGTAAAGTTAGGTAACATTCCTGGAGGAAAGTGATGTGCTCATCATTCAACAATGGGCAACAAAACACTCCGAAGAGTTTTGGCTCTGCACATGGACTCTCTTCCCTAGATTTCCCTAAAGAAGTGTCTTGGATGGGATTCTGTGGTTCAAAATTTAGACACCATTGGAGAGGAAAGTTCAGAACTTTTGGCGAGAAAACTCAAGTAACTCAGTGCGTGGGAGAGCAGTGAGGGCTTAAGAACTGTTGCTCAGGATTCTATGTCCTTTTCCAGACACTGATTAAATGTAAATGAAGAATCTGAGCGTATGGATTTTTGCACAATGTACAGAGTGTGTATTTTTATTGTCACAGTGATATAAGACTGGACCACGTGGGTCACGGCTTCTTATCAATATTTGTTTAATACTAAATGAATGGCAGATAACACAGTACAGTAATCATTTCTCATGCATTATCTCATTATATACCATTGAAAGACTCCAATCTTGTAACACATACTATCGTACTCACTTTTCTACATGAGATTTAACTTTAGTGAGATGAAACAACGTGCTATAGTAATATAGCTAGTAAATCAAAGCTAGGACTTGGAAGTCAGAGGTTGACCTCTTTATTCCTGACATTAAACAGCTGTGATAAAGGACAGGGAAGAGAGAAGAAGAGCCTTTAGTTTCTTTTCTCTACTCAAGTTTCCCCCTCAGGTTCAGAAAATTAGCATCCCACCCTAGCTCTCATTTCTGAAGCTTATCAGCAACTTTGCTATTTACAGTGTTGTTAAAACAACTAAATAATGGTTCATTCCATTACAAATAGCTTTTGATATAATAATCTAAAGAAATACAGGATCCAGCACTTCTGTTCCCTACGTTGAACAAAGGAAACCTACGTGAAATTCTTGACAATACTTAAAGCAGAGACATTCCTTGTTACTGGTAGGAATGACAGATTGACTCATGGGCAATCCCAAATTAATACATGATCAATTATTCCTGTGGCCAGATTTTGCTGTTTCTCTGTTACAAAAAATTGAAAGCAGTTCTTTTTACTGAAAATTATGCTCAAAGAAATTAACACACAGAATACTATCAGAGTAAAATAACAAAGTTACCAGATAGCTGAATTACAGATAGTCTGCTAGGTGTAAGACAACTCTACTATCTTTGGATTTCTAACTGTATCTACTACACTGAGTTATCAGAATGGGTGACAAGTGATGTAAAGGATGGATGTGTACAGCCAGGAATTGCAGCACATATGTATATATGTATCTTCCCCCAAAAATGTGATTTAGCTAACTACTAGCAACTCCCTTCGAAGGACAGCTAAATTCTTCCAGTCCCTATATCAGGTTCAAGGTCCCAGCGGTGACATTTTGCCTCTTTTGTATTATTCTTGGCTTACATAGCTGTCCTTCCATAGTAATACATTATTTGCTGGCCGCACCTTAATAAACAGCTTCGGTAACACCCTCTGAATTTCTGGAAGTCCACTCTCTTTTCTTCCTGCCATATTCTGTTGTTTTCCCTTTTCTTTTTTTTTTTTTTTTTTTTTTGTTTGTTTGTTTGTTTGTTTTGGTTTTTCTTCGGTACCGGGAACCAAACTCACGACCTTGCGCTTGTCAGGCAGGCGCTTTGCCGCTGAGCTAAATCCCCAGCCCCTCCCTTTTCTTTATATTGTGCTTTGTGCTGGGCTTTATTCTCCTACACACTTTACTCACTAACTTATGCTCACTAACTTTTTGTATGCGAGACAAAGCTTTATTGTACAGAGCTGGTGCAAATCCTCTCTATTGATTATCTGTGTGACCTAAGAAAATTACACAATAGTTGAGCGACAATTTTCTTATTTTTAAAATGAGAATAATAAGAGCATATACTCACCTTTTCACAGCCTAACTCATTTTTCTTTATCTTCTGTGGATTATGCCTCCATGATACTAAAATGTTCCCTGCCTAAAAATTTGCAGTACCAGGGCATTATTACATTTCTATACCCATACTATTAAACACTGTCTTCACTGAAGCACTTCTAATCTCCACTAAACTTAAATAGTACATGGTAAATTAGCATTAAATGGGCTTTCCTATATTTTCACCTGGGTTTTCATTGATTTTAGATTACTTGAGTAGAATAGAGACTCGATGGGATAGGCATGTCCAGTTATATTTTAATAGGAGTAGCACCAAATAGGAGAAAAAGTATTAAAGTACAGACCTTAGTCATTATGGGTAGGGCAGTGGCAGGAATCATACATCACTGGGAGACCCCACGGATCCTAAGAGACAGGAGCGTGTGACATAGAGAGGAGACCACACAGCAAGAGAAGAGGAACCACCAATCCTTCTTTTCCTATTAATTTATCTGTAGGTCATCCCGACATGAGCAACAACAGCAGCAGTAACAATAGCAGTAATTAACATTTATTGAGTAATGATTATTGTATGCCTGATGATATATGGTATTGATTGATGTGGATCAAGTGCTTTATACGAATTATTTCATTTCACTATCACCATAGCTCAGTGATGTAAGGACTATTATTTTATGGATGAAGATGTGGAAGGAAAGTTATATAAACAACTTGTGCATATAGCATTGCTAATAAATAGTGTCAGGTTAAGGCTTGAAACCTAAGTGAGTCTAATGTCAGAAACTAGGCTGTTAGTTACTTTTTTTCCTGAAAATTTAAATTTCAAGAGTGTCTTTGTTCATAAATACACAGTAATGTTTGTCAGCCCATATGTTTTGATTTAAGAGTCTGAAAATGCGGTCCTTGTAAGGTTTGGTAAGTCAAAGGAATATCCCATGCTTTCCATAGCAGATTTCACAAGCAGAAATACACCAACGTCCTACCACAAGGCACAGCAACACATGGAGGCCTAGACCAGAATAAAAACAAAAATCTAGCCTCAGTCTATTTTCCTTAAATGTTCCTAGAAAACCTTCTTGTACAAAACAAGTAAAAAAATTTTAAAAAATGTTTTAGAATTCCAATTTGTAGCAGAAGTGAGAAATGTTTCCTTCAAAGGCCAGGAATGAGAAAGTAAAAATCCAAAAACTCAGAAAAGCTGGAGGCAACTTTTATAGACAGGTACT